TTGAGAATGGTTGATCTAATTCTCTCCAAAAAAATTTACTCTGCAAGATGTAGAAATTCTAGAAAAAAATATTAGTAAGCATCATTCATTGTATCAAAAACAATTTAAGGCGTCTCTCAAACCAAAACATCACTTTCTATTACACTACCCTAAAGTTATTTTAGACTGTGGTCCTATTTTCATGAATGATGTGCTTCAGAAATGAAGCGAAACATCAAGCTTTCAAAGAATATGTTCATGTTATCACTTCTCGTACAAACGTAGCATACACATTATGCATGAAATCATGCTTGCAATTTAGTTACGAAATATATAGTAACAGCTTCCAAGCCACACCTCCCCAAGGTAATTTCAAAAGAAGTAATATTTCCTCTAGGCCATATTATGAACTGATAACAGATTTGCCTTTCGATAAATATGAATCCGTCGAGTTTACCTCAATATTATCTTTTAATGGTTACAAATTTTCTTCAGGGCAATTCGTAACTCAAAGTACTGAAACTCAAACGAAGTTATTTGAAATCGAAGAATTTATAAAACACCTAGAATATTTTCAAGCCATTGTTAGGCACTGGACTGTACGATCATTCGATGAGCATTATCTTGTCACAGAAGCAATAGAAAGATTAAATGAACTGAGTGTTATACATATTGAAACCATAGATGGGCCTCCTTTCAGAGTACACGAAATAGGTAATAAGTTCTTGTATAGAAATAAATGTATTTTTGATAAATAGAATATGTTGTCTTTTATGTGAACTTCATTATTGCAGGTTCGGTATTATGAATGGCAAACATGCTACATGTATACATAAACTTAATTCCATTAGAGTGTCTTATGAAATCCATAAAATAGATTAGATGTTCGCTCATAAGATTATCTTATGAAAAATTCTAGACCACAGTATGAAAAAGAACATCAACGCCACTGACGTCATTTCATAAGAACTTCTTATGAATTTCAAAGTTTTTTCTTTTGTCGAAATTTCATAAGCATATCTTATGGAGCTCATACGTAATATTTCCTCAGTGTTCACAACCCCCCTCACTGTTCCAACCCCCCCACGAAATATTTCGACCGACTCCACTTTTCCTCAAGTTATTGAACATCATTAATAATACATATCTTTCCAATCCTAGGAATCAGATGCAGGAGTACCTTCCCAAAGGTCTCCAACGACTTCCGCTAGCTGTGAGATTCTTCAGCCATTACAAAACATTGACCACATGGCACTGAACTTCGTCCTTGACCTCCACAAGCGACGCAACATAACACGGAAGGATGTTCTTGATGTCCAGACTAGCGTCAAGAACTTATACAGTCACCTTGAAATCCTGATCCGCTCCGTAGTACCTTTGCAGGCATGTGACCCACAAACACTGTATATTACAGACGTTTATCTACAAAAAAATGTCTTCAATGTTTGATTTCATTGATACAGAGCACAAGTTCTTTAAGTTTCTTATAGAGGCGGACCTTTTCAGTAAACCGAGAGTATTTATTGCTAAAAACTGTAGTATCGATGAAGCAGGAAGTGACACGAACATCGAAACTACTCATTTAATCTTAATGAACATAGAGTTTCAAATCAGAAAATTTCTCGAAACCGAAGATGTGCTGTCTGAAATAATTAAAAATATGTACAATCTAAGGAAAACAAGTAATAGATATTGCAATTTTGTCAACGGAGCGCTGTATCAAAACAATGTAAACCAAAACCCTGGAAAATTGATCATACCATTATTCTTTTACACGGATGAGTTCGAGATTAATGATCCGTTAAGCTCGCATAACAAAAGGCATTCAATTTGTGGACTATATTATTCATTTCCAATACTACCTGAGCAGCACCTTGCTAAGTTATGTAATGTTTTCATTGCTGGTGCTATTAAAAAGATACACGGATAGAAATCCCCTTATACCTTTTGGCAAATTTCCATTGCTGATTATTCATAAAATGTATAAGTCAACTAATGAGCAGACGCCTTGCAAAAAGTTAATAAAGATCATGTGTCAAATGAAATGTATAAGCGGTCACACATACCTTTTATGCATTCTAATAGGACCTATGTGGTTTGTCTTATGGAATGTATAAGGCTGATGCTTTGGCAATAATATATAAGTGAAACACATGAATAAAATAATTGATTTTCGTTTCGTGTAGACATTTCAGAACATGGTATAGACGGTATAGACATGTTTATGAAGCATGTAGTAGATGAGTTTAAAAAGATAGAGGAAGAAGGAATAGTAATCAATACGAAAAAACACGAATATAAAGTGCACGTCTCGCTAATGCTTGTCCAAGGTGACAACTTAGGCATCCACCAGACTCTTCACTTTTCAGGATCGTTTTCAGCAAAGTTCTATTGAAGGTACTGCAGAAGAGCAAGACTTCCTTATGTATGATTTGAAAGAGCATGAAGAATGCTTGCGTACCATGGAAAACTACGAAACAGATATTTCATTAAAGCAGTCAGAGTCAGGTTTAACAGGAAGATCTGTCTTCAATTGTTTACCGTCTTTCCATGCAATCACCAATTTTTATGCTGATTGTATGCATGACCTCTATAGTACGGGAGTATGTCATTATGGCTTTGTTGAAATAATCAATCACTGCATTTTCACAAAACGTTACTGTACCTTAAATGATATAAACAAACAGCGAAAAATGTTAAACAACTATCGATTGGAACAAGCCCTGGCAAGGATGCCTGATTTAGGAGATCAATACATCAAGGCAAAGAAAAATAAATCAGTAACTTTAAGAATGACAGCTAACGAAATGGCTGTGTTTTGTAACTATTTCACCTTTATATTTGGGCCTTTCATTTCGTCAGACGATCCTGTATGGAGTTATGCTGTAGTACTCATTGAGATGATCGATACTATAAATTTGCCAGCCTTCACGAATGAAGATATTGAGCAATCTCGTTAGCGAGCATCATAAACTGTATACTTCATTATTTGATCAACATCTAAAGCCTAAGCAACATTTTCTAACACATTATCCTAAAATAATCAAAAATAGCGGTCCGCTAAAAAAAATGTCATGTTTTCGACAAGAAGCTCGTCACAGAGACTTTAAGGAATATTTTGATGTCAGCTCCTCCAGAAAAAATGTTTGCTTGACTATGTGCATTAAAGCTAGCTTATATTTCACTCACGATGTAGTAAATTCATCATTCTTTAAAACTGTTTCAAATGATAAATACGAAGAGGCAATCTGGGGTGAAAAATCTTACGTCGATAATGTTTGTAACAGCAGCATTGATAGGCGAGAAATTGTTCAAACAGCTCAATATTTAACCTACAATAATGTTAAGTACTGCTCAGGAAACTTTGTGTCAGTAACTCAGGGATCTACAGTAGAGTTATACCAAATAATTGAATTCCTCAAATATGCCAACGAGGAATATGCAATCGTTGTGAGATGGAAAGTTGAATGTCTGAACAAGCATTATCAGGCGTTTGAAGTAGGGGAAAAGATAGATGATATATTTCAATTTGTAAAGACAATTTTCGATGGCCCTCCTTTTACAATAGAAGAAATGGGAAGAAAAGTTATGTTTCGCAGAAAAATATATCAAATAAATGAATAACACTATTGTTCAACTTGTAAAACAAAAGCGTTTCATTGACAGCATTAATTTACTGTTCCAACGATTTAGAACAGATATATTTTGTTATGATCACAATTTTTAAACTGTAAAATAAGCTTTCTTCTTTTATATATTTTTCATTCAGATTGCACTTATATTTCATTTGAACATTGCATGACAATTTATTTTGAAACTGTATGACGAGTCCGTATCATTCTCAATGTTAATCATACGGTTTGTTCATTGCAAGTCTTCCTAAGAATGGATGATAATCATGCTGATTTAGAACTGATGGGTTACAGTGTGCAGAATGAAAATCATCCTGTTGTAGAATTGATGCTATTCAGTTCTTCTGTGCTTTGAAAGCTGAATCAGAGAATGATAATCTTTCTCAAATAGAAAAATAATCCGTATGGGGCTCAAGTGAAGCAATAATCATACATTCATGTGTTGACAATTTGGTTCAGTGTAGTTGATAAGGTTAACATCATTGGGACTTCATCCAGCTTGTTGATGTAAAAAAAAAACAATAAACAATAAACAAATTCGCTAAAAGTTTCATGGGTGCGCTAGCATTGAAAATGTGTTTATTTTCTGCAAATTATTGGGGGTCTCACTCTAGCCCCACCTGATCCTACCATTGATTTGCCTTTTGTTTTGCTGACATTTTATTTCAAATTGGAAATTGGAGCAGCTGTCGTATGAAAGTTTTAAGATTGCAATCAAATTTCCGATTATTTCCAGTTTGTTATCGATTCTCGCTCTTCTTGGTTCAGTGGCCACCCTGCATGCGTTGTACAACAAAATTGACGGTTCTTGAAATGGTTGAAGTATAATCAAACAGGGTTTGGTTTGGTGCATGTACGGAGAAGGCGCTCGACCATCAAAGAAGTTGGAGTACAAATTAATCAACAGAATAGATTGTGTGCGGAGAGCTCTTTAAAACTTCGCCAAATAGTGATAGCCGACAGATAACATGTCGGACATTTTTACAGCGTCACAGATATGAGGAAGGGATTTAGTTCATGACGGTAACCGATTTCGGATTGTACATCGTCCGTTTCATGCAATACTGTAACGACTCAAAATAAAAATATTCGAACATTTCTTTGTTTATCATGCTCTATGTTGATTTTATTTCTGGATTGAGCAAGGTTTGTCAAGCCACCGCTAAGGAAACAAAAGGCTTAAAAATATAAAAGGCTATATAAAAAAGGTTTATTAAATTGATATTTAAATCTCATCCCCGGACAAGTCACGAATGACGCAAGAGTGTTACAGTTACTATAATAATATTGATACATATAACGGAAACATTTGAAAATTTTGAGTTGTTACAATATGACATGAAACCGACGATTTATTCAATTAATAAACGATCGCATTTTAACAATATATTGTATGATGTTTATTTGAAGCCTTCGTTCTTCGAACAACTTTGAATGCAAACATAAGAAAGATATTTTACACCTAAAGCGCAAGGCAACCAAATTCTTCCTGAATGAAAACTTTCACTTTCTAGAAAGGATGAGTTCTTCAAAGCAATTTTAACCTACACTACTGAGTATAAATAGTGAAATCATCGCCTCGTGTGGTTGAAGCCGTGCTGAGATCCTGAGCAGATCCGACACTTCCACCAGCACTTCGAGTTCCCCCAGCGGCAGCGGTTTGTTCCTGGGAGTCCGGGTGATTGGCCACCTTGGCCCGTATGTTTTTGATTTTTCGCAATCTTTCCAACCAGTTAGATGCGTAAGGGTTTTGGTTCTTGATTTTCAACGATTGCGATACCAACGACGCAAGCTTTATGATTGGAAAAAATAAAACGAAAATTAGCAGCAATTTGAAATGTTGATAAATCAACACAGATACTTACGTTGGCGTGCAATGCCATTTGCCGAGCCAAAAGGGGAGCACTGGAGTCAGAAACAATTTTCGGCTTGCTGCACACGTGCTGCGCAATCTCATCTCGCGCTAGCACGAATATACGGTTGCTTTCTAGCTCCATGGGCTCTATGACAACACAAGCGTAGGTGAATTGACCCTGTCAAAAATAATTCATCATTTACTCATTGCTAATTTCAATTGATTAAAAATGTTTACTCACCTTGATGGTTTTCAGATCATACTCCTCCCCGCTTTCATTGTAAACGATCGTTACAAAGTCGTTTCCAATGTGTTTCTTCTTCTCGTTGCAGTTCGGATCCTGTTTATTATTTGGCATCAACGTAGCGACATGGAACGTTACCTGGACGATATCGTCCTGCCAGATGTAGGTGAAGTTGCCGTCTTTGCCATTGGATTCCAAATCAATGAAAAAGTTGTTCTCTTTGGCCTCCTTTATGGCAACTAATGTGCCAAGTTTTTTCAGAAATTTGGCATATCTCAAACTGCCAAAACGGTTTTTCAGAATGTCTGCCTCAATACCGGCTTGCCCTGGACCGACATATAGCACACCGATCTTGTGCTTCTCGAATGGGGCAATTAGATCTAGCAAGTGAATGGCCCTCTCGCTGGTTTCTTTGTCCATGAGAATGGGTCTTTCCGTCGAGCCAAATTGACCACAGTGGTAGAGCTGTAAGAACACAAAACTCGGACTGATGACCGAACGAGAGGCTGCACCTACCCCGGATTGTTCGTTTCGAAGTCGAGGATTGGTGATCTTATTGAGGCCAAATTTGAGATTGTCCCTACTGTAATGTTCTCGAGCAACGGAAATAGTCTTGGATCGTCCTCTAGGTATATCGTTTTCATTGGAGTGCATTCCATGACCCATCCCTCCGGCCGTAATGGCTGGGAAAGATGGAGAAGCGGTACCAGAATTGGACAGTTTCCCATTGATTGGATTGCGAGCCAATAGTCGTGGCGATAGAGGAGCAGGTGACTGTGGTGGTTTTGTGGTAACTTTCTCCATCGGGAGTTTTAGGTTCAATGATGATGAGGATAATGTTTGGGTTATCGGTGGCATCATCGCTTGAGAAGCAATGGTTTCGGTCGATGAACTTGTAGGGTCCGACTTAGCAGTGATGGCTTCATCTGCAGAATGTTGTTTTCGTGGAACAACATTGGTCGGTGTTTCAGGGCCAGCAGATTCAGGTAACGATGCCGACGGATGTAGAGTTGCTCCCGATGTGGAGAAGTCTGCTTGCTGTTTAACGTATCCTGATGCCCGAACGGTGACATTGTCATTTATTTCACCACCAAGAGTAGTGGATCTGGGAGCACTGGGAGGTGTTGAACCTGCAATTTCCTCCGGAATAGCTTCACAACTTACTCCTTTTCCGTAGTTCTTTTTCTTTTGCTGTCCGTCACTTTCGAGCATACTATCATGTCCATCGGATGGCATTACGATGGATCCTTCCTTGTTAATCTTGCTTAAAAACTGGCTCTTCCAGTTTGAACTCATTTCGGGACTGGAGTTAACCCTGCGCACCGGATTTCTTGAACGTCCCTCAGGATCATCAAAAGCTACATCCGGATTCTCGTCATCTTCTCTGATGTCAACGGGGATGCTGGGGTCATCATTTTCATCTCCAGCTTTGATTTTCTTTGTGTACCTAGGAATATCGATAGGACCAGTACTGTTTGTACCCTCCCTGCCCGATATCAACACGTCTTCATTTCCGTCGTCATCGCCAGCATCACTGCTTTCTTCCTCCTTCTTAATTTCGAAAACTTCATCCGATATTGATACCTTTGCCTTAGGCGTAACAGCAGCAGGTGTTAGAGTCTGCGGTAAAGGGTGCGATGCAACCATATATGTGTCGTCGTTTACAAGACTTGCTGTAGAATTGCCCGCAGCTGGAAAGTTTAAACTTCCATTGGAAACATTCTGTTGAGTACGATCGAGTAAATCTGCTCCAACTATGCCGCCACCGAGGCTAGGTGCAAAAAGTGCTGTAAGATCTTGCAACGGAAATTCGCCAGAAGTAGCATCATAGTTGATTTGGTTCTGAACTCGCATCATCCAAGATAGAACACCCGTAGGACGTCGAATACATATCTCTGCCCAACCGGTGCATGAACATGCGCATAGTTGAATAGGTTTATCCAGCACATTTCCACTGACGACTGCACTGTTGCTTGAACTGCTGACGGTTTGCTGTTGTGGCAAAATTAGCTTATTGCCGAGAGTCGTCATCAAACCGGGCTCCGATCGGCTGCCGTCTGTCTGTCGCACCGGTTGCTGTTCACCACTTGCAGCGGGCCCATTTTCCACTGAGTCAGGATTGCTACCTCGCCGGGACAAGGTCTCCAACGAACCAGAAGAATAGCCTTCTTGGGAACCCTGACGGAAGAATCGGTTTGTTGTGGTTATGGTGGCACTCTGCGGAAATGGCGTTGCTGCCGTCGAGGAAGAAGTCGAACTTGTCGTCAAATCGGTGCTGTCCGATTCGTTAGCACTGGTAGAGATATATGGAATTAGTTAAAGTGCCTAATGCGTTAAATGCTGACGAATTTTGATTGGTTTAACAATACGCACATTTCATCCAATTGTTGTGCACTAGTTAATAACATGCACTATTTGTTTTAGATGGTACATTAATAAACTTTTCACGCAAAAACACATTACGAGAGTTCAAACATACACCCATGATTCTAATGATAACGTTCCTATTATGGTGTGATCCAATTATGCCATATGGGAATTCCATAGGCATAACCAGCGATTTTATAAATACAGATGTTTACATAGGAAAAAAGAAGGAACCCCCTTGTTTATCTTGAAACCATAGTTAATTTTTGGAACTATTTTTTGAGCCAACAAAATTGGTATTTATAGTACCTTATGGATGAACAAATCAGGTGTTCCCAACTTTTATCGTGTACAAAAATCTGTATCTGTGGCATTGCTGGCCATAGCTGGTACCCTATTTATTTAAAGCAGCAACATAATCAACGACTCTAATGACGGACCCTGCATACCACTACCCCGAACAGTTGAAAACTTACTTGTGAACGTCGAATAAAAAATCCGCGACCTAAGTTTCCTTCACATAAATACAATTTATAAGTTAAATAAAGAAACTTTGAAGAAGATTTCATGATTTGTCGAAGTAAAACGGAAATGTAAACAGACAAAAATCTTACTACGTACGAGATTTCGAAAATTTGCCTTGATTGATTGGTACATACAAAACCCATACGTAATAAATTAACTATTCATATGCATTGAATCCGCTATGCTCAAAATTCAATTCTTGTCAGATTTTCTTGAAATTTGGCATTTGAGGCTAAAATCTATTTGAGAATCTAAAAAAATAAAAAATCAAGAAAACATTTCAATTGCGACCGGCATCGGCAGGCTGTGGGTGTGCGTGACATCTAAATCTCGTTTTTGGAAATAAATTTGTGACAAATCTTTTTTCGATTGTCGGATTTAAATCCATCAACCTTGCAAGCACCATTTTGTGAACAGTTCCATGAGCTGAAAGGTTTGATATACTTATGATGTTGTTATACTAATATAGCTTGCTCAAGCTATTAAATTGAACAACAATTCATAACATTTGCTTCTTATGTCTTTTTCACAACAAAAAAGTATCATTCACTAAGTTATTTATGGAAAATAAATCAAAATAGAGGAAAAGCCTAACTTAAAAAATATGGCCGCATAGCGTATAACGTGGACCCCCGGTAATCTGACCGTTTTTAAGGAGCACTTTATAATTTGAACCCCGCTAATCTGCTCGCCGTGGAAACTACACGGCGAATGAGAACGACCCAAATTTGAGTTTAGTTCACTCATAATCGCCAAAAGTGCAGGAACTCAGCGATGAGTAAAATTTGTCTCATGGTTTCCTGTGGAAAACCTAAAAAATCTGACTGAGCGAATCCAATATTTACTTTTCTCAAATTCGGGAATTTTTCCCTGGAAAATCCTGGGAAAACATGAGGCAAATTTATTCATCGCTGAGTTCCTGCACTTTTGGCGATTATGAGTGAACTAAACTCAAATTGGGGTCGTTCTCATTCGCCGTGTAAAAATTGTTCAAACGTCATTCAGCATATGGAATGGAGGAAAGCGAAATGGAACATTGCGAAACGGAATGCAGAAGTAAAACAAATCAGCAAATAAGGCTACCAGAAACATGAATTTCTGATGCTGATATGGTTACTAGAATCTATATATATAAAAATGAATTTCTGTCTGTCTGTCTGTCTGTCTGACCCTTATAGACTCGGAAACTACTGAACCGATTGGCGTGAAAATTTGTATACAGGGGTTTTTGGGGCCGTGGAAGGTTCTTATGATGGTTCGAGACCCCTCCCCCTTCTGTAAGGGGGGCTCCCATACAAATGAAACAGAAATTTCTGCATAACTCGAGAACTAATCAAGCAAATTGAACCAAATTAGGCATGTGGGGGCGAGTGTGGGGGTATAAGGAGATAATCATAGGGGGTAGCCCCTTAGATAATAGGGGGGGGGGGGGCTACGTACAATATAGCATGCTTTTTTTTTAAATCGGCGCATAAACTCAAGCTAATATTGAATCCCGAGCAAGACCGGGCACACTCAGCTAGTAACTAATAAAAATGAAGTCCGTTAATATGCATGAAGTGTCGTTCAGATTAATGGGGATCCACGGTATACTAAAACGCTACTAGTAGTGTTCTATCAAATAAATCAATAAATACAGTCCCCTCGATATAACGTAACTTCTGAAAAATCTGAAGATTTAGACAATATATGTTCTCGAAAATAGGTCCTGAGGACGTAACAATATCTTAAGGCTGTATTTTAATTGTAATAGGTTGTAATTGAATACTTTGGACAGGAATAAAAAATGATAAACATTTATAAGTACCGTAAAACTACGTATCTTTGATAATACGGGTAACTTTGATAGTTGAATATAATTATTAAATTTACTCTCTGCGCTCATTCCGAATTGGAAATATTGGTTCTATATTGTAGTTTAGGGCATTTCCGTTGATATGATATATAGCTTTTATATCATATATGAGGGTTTTTGATCTAATTTCCGTCCTACTAAGCACAACCCGCGCTTTACCTCTCTTTTCTGAACGAGTTTGAACGAAAAATGGAATATTTCTGTCAAAGATGACTTCAAGAGCAAATTTTCATTACGTCGAATGTAACAAAGGTAAACAAAGTCGAGCTATCAGTGTCAATCGATGCTCCTGCTATTACACTATAATACTGTCCGAATATAGGATCACATCCCATTTTTAAATTTATTTACCAGTCGAATTGCTTTTTGACGTAATCACCTTCCGATCAAAATAGTTTTCGATGTTACTTAAGTCACCCGATTTCTATGGAGATGCCGTTTGCCTTAAGTAACAGCACTGAGAAACCCGTGAAAAGTGTACTTTTGTCGTTTCGCTTTCTCATTATTAAAGTGAATAAATCGAACTGTTTGTTGCTAAGATGATTTCGGTGGTCCTAAAATGATGAATGGGCTGCACGTAAGGAGACGTAATTGATAATTCTCCCGAATATCCTGGTAAATACACTTTGACTTAAGTAACAATAGGGGCCACCAAACGACGTATAATAACTTTTGACTCAAAAACCAGTATTTCTTAGCATGAAAGCTAGCGATTTGCCTTTGCATGATTAAAACCCGGCTAAATATGTTAAACATTGCTATCACTATGAGATTATATGTGTTTAATTGGAAATAGGAATAACTTTTCGGTCATCAAAATAAAACTTTATTTTTCTCGGATCGGTGCGAATGTTACTTACGACATAATGAAAATTTGCTCTTGACTTCTAAATTTATTCACCTTTCCATACGTACCGTTGGATTTGATAAAGAGTCACAAATTGATGAGATATTGTTTAAAATTTAATACTGCTTCTTGATTCTAAATTCGTTCTACGAGTTTCAATTCCGTCCTAACGCATTGAAACGCCATTAGATTTTCTTCGTCCTACGGATAAACGTAGAAAAAGGGGATTCGCTAGGAGCGCTTCTTTTGTTTTGAGAACAATGAGCGTAAATATTCATAAAATGCGCTCTAACAGGATTTATGTTGTAGCTAATGAACTAACGCATCGGAACAAACTTATTATTGATTTGTGCATGGTGAAATATTGATATTATTGATCTTTTCTGATCGATAGAACGCCCTACTCATATATTACTACACTCAAAAAATTCCACACGTCGTCATCATGTGTCTCACACTTAATTTTGCGCATATTGTGAAACACATCCATTTCATGTGTGAATCTTATACTATGAACCATGCCTGAACACTATGGATTTGAATTGTGACACACTTGGATTCTATGTGCCTCATATGGTGATATCAATAGCTTTGCACACCATAGTTCAATATTCTACAATATTCTACTTTATCAAATTCTACTTTACTGACTCTAAAAATGAATCGACAAATATATAAACAAAACTGCCATAGGCCAGAGCTTTCACATATATTTTTAATGGGTCTGATTTGGGATTCGATCATGGACTGTTGGGGTATGCTGCTGCCGGAGTCTTCGTTCGATCTCACTGTGTCACGGTTGTTCTCATATATGAGGCGGGTTGATAGGATAAAGTCACAACTCTTGTTTTCGATGTTCACCTTTCTGAGCAAGCAATTCACATCGTATTGAAATGCAAAACACTTTAAATCCATCTGTTTTGAATAGTAGCGTGATTCAATGTGCAATACACTTGAATAGATAGTGAAAGATTTTCAACATTTCAAAGTTTGAAACACTATAAATTAACGTGTATAACACATTGAACCAAGGTGAAATACACTTAAAGTAAATGTGATTGTGCATTTAGAAAATCATGTGTTTAAACACTTCGATCAAACGTGTGAAATTTTTTGAGTGTACATTTCTTCTACATTCAACGAGTATTATCAAAGTAACCCCATATCAAAATAGTGGTGCAAATGCTTTAATTTCCGTTAGTCATATTACTAACCAGGGCTGTAATCTGATCACTCAATGTGCGCAATGCACTGATTTTCTTAAATAAACAAAGTGAGAATCAAGCAAACATAAAGTTTGCTTGTCTTTCACCCTGCGCAAGTGTAGGGTGCAGCGGAGAACAGAAGACAGATACACACCCAGAAATAACGAAAGCTCAATGTGTAGCCATCGCTCCGACGGCTCCGATGCAAAGAGCGCCACTCAATGGGAAACCCAGCAAAAAGACAAAATTCTTCTTCGTTATGCTCTTCTTCATCTCCTATTCATGCAGTCGTGGTAAGCAAAGTCTGCAAATAATTCAAAGAAAACATTAGCGCTTGTTGTATTAAATTCGCTCCCTGCGCCGCACGGAGCGTACCGCTCATTGTGTGGATCGCTTTCTCACAGACAGAGATGCTAGATTTACAGACATGTCTGTGAATTTACAGACTTTTATTTTTTTCACAGACATTTTTTTCATTACAGACATTTACAGAC